AGATTCTGTATCATCTAGAATTTGTTGCAATTCATCACAATTGTCATCTTCAATAGACAGTCCACTGTTGTTGAATGCTACATCATCATATTCCTCGGGATCAATGTATTTTCAAAATTTTTGAAGCGTTCTCATTTCTCCAGATTTCAACATTTTGCTTCAAAGTTGTTTCATAAAAATATACTCCAAGCTTTTTAAAAATTGTGTTACGTGGTATTGTGAAAATTCTGTATAAACACAGCGTGGAGTTAGTTAAGATACCATAACTTCATCCATGTTCTGTTTTAATAATTGACTCACCTTATTTTTGTCTACTGACTTCACGTTTTCTCTCAACACTTTAAATATTGGCTTTATTTGTGAAAGAAAAGTTTTGTTTTTTGCATTTGTCAAATATTACATTCCTCTGTACTTTGCACAGATATCACAACATTCACAATGTGATATGCTTTCAACAAGGGTATTTTTTCCAGGAAACCTGAGGAGAATTGATTGGCACCTGCATTCTTGAGATTGGATGTACTGTTTTATATCATCACTACAATGAGTTTGAAGAAAACCATTGTAAAACAAGTGGCAGTAACTCTGATGACAAGTGGCTTCTTACTCTAATGAAGCCCTGTATGCTGAGGCGAAATATTAGTATACTCTATAAATTTAATTTATTTTGAAAATTTTATTCCGTGATACTGGATTCTCGTGGACATATTGCTTTTTTCCTGTTTATCTTTCAAGTGGCAGTAACTTGTTGCATCATCTCTTCCTGCTCTCCCACATTCTTGCAAGTAGCTTTCAACTGACTTTGAAGGTCCAAAATGCACAACATGATGAACTCCCTTGCAATGAATCCCCATGCGAAAAGCTATTGTGCATACAAGTACCCTTGTATTGCTCTGTTCCTTTGTCAAATTGCAAATAATGTGCTGCTTGACTTATTCGGGTGTACCTGCATGAATCATTTCAACTAGCCTGTTATCAGGTACTTGCTTTTCAGGAGCATACATCTCTTTCCCAAGGTTGAATTCAAATATTCTCCAAATGATAGCTGCTTGAGATATTGTTTGACAAAATATAAGTGTTTTCGCAGTTTGCCTCTTATACATTTTCAATTCCAATAATATTGGTGCAAAAACTTCCTCCAGTGGCAAATCATTCCTAATGTACTCCACGTTGAATTTCAAATTTGGTTTCATTGGGGATTTCTCCAAAGCAAATGTTTTAACTGCATCCATCCCAACATAGTCATAAGAACGGATAGTCTGGAAGCAAACAATACCCTATTGTTCTTTTTCGTTGTTCGCGAGTTTATGTTGAAAAGTGCGCAACAACAACATGAAGGTGCACACTTCAGAAAAATGGCGGAGAAGTCAGAGGCCGCTCTAGCTTCCGATGATCTTGAAGATATATTATATTTAGTTGAAGGTGGTTTTCTTGATAATGATGATGATTTCATAAAGGAAATTGAAGAGATAGCCGCTGAAGTACCTGGAGATGAAAAAATTGCTTTGGGTTTTAAATGTAATGTCTGCGAAAAGGCCTGTAGATCTCGCCGCGGACTAACCAGGCATTTCAATTGAAAGCACGGAAAATTATATGATCGTGACACTGGTACTGTGTCAGGCACTGAAGGAAATATGCCATCATCTTTACCCTTGTCTCTCTCTTCTTCAACTGATGAAATCAGTCGCCGAAAGTTGCATCCTCTTCAATTAAAAGCCATAGTTTTGAGGTGTGCCGAAAAGGTATTTTTAGATGAATGTTATCCTCCATCTTTCCGACAGAAATTTGCCAAAGAAGCATTCATTTTTACAAATGATGATGCTATAGAGTTGTGGTCTAAGTTGAGAAATGTTATTGATAGTTTTAAAGGCGATGCTGAAAAGTTTTATTCTGGTTTTTATTCAATGATACTTGATACTGTTCTTCCGTCAAAATTTGATGAAGCTCCAGATACAAATGCACTGATGGCTGAAGTGGCAACTCATTTACTTATTCATTTGTCTGGTGATAACCTTGCCTGTTTGGAAATTTCTCATAAACCAAAGTCTTTGTCAGAGAAAGAAAATAAAAGCCTTCAATACCTTGCTGGATTCATTTTGCATAAACTGTATTCTAAATTCCTCTATTCAACAAATAATAAGCGAAACACATAACAGCAATATACTTCCATTCTGCAATCATGTAAAGTGGAGAGTGATGACACCCAATCTCGTATCAATATCCGTGACCGAGGAGGATTATGGAGAGTCAACATAAGGATTGAGAATGTCTTCCTAGGTGCTGAATTGTTGTTTCGGTCAAAAACGTCCTCTTTTAAAACAACAATAATTTGCAAAGACATAGTTACTGAACTATTACAAGATTCCTCTGTCTTATCCTAGTAAAATGAAACCTGTTTGGATGCCAACCTTCAAATTCATAAAGATGTTTGCATGGATCTACTGGAGCACATGCTAACACTGTTTATAAGAGTCATAACTTTTTCTTTTGCCAAGGATGTTAGAGAGAAACATAAAGTTGCCAAACGACAGTCAAAGAAAAGATCTCTACGTGCTGAAAAGTAGCTCTTCCAAAGAAAAGGGACAATGATGGCAAAACTTCTTCTATTCTTTTTTATTCTCTTCTTTTTTTAATAGTGAATTAATTAACAAAAACTATTGGTAGTCAAAAACAACAGTATGTAAAATACAAACAAAACAATTTAAAGCAGTTCAAAGCCTGACAATATTTAGCAAGGCAAATACTAAATACAATGTATGTCCTTAATAACTGATAATGTTCTTATATGTTTTTGGCTTCTCCTAAGTCATTATGAATTTGTGCCAATCAGGGCCGGTTCCATGGGGGGGTGTGGGGGGTGTGACACCCCCCCAAGAATTGAGTTTGGCGATTTACTCGGTAAAGTTCGATTTTTGGTCGGTAAAATTATGTTACGAAGTTTTATATTAAATGCTGTGTAGTGCATCACTGCGCAAAAAGCAATTAAATATGCATAACATTTTGAATATCTAGTTTTCTTCATTGATGCCCTGTGCCTACAAAGACCATGTGATATTTGCTGGTGTGGTCTCATTCGGTGAGAACCTGAGAAACCATTTGTGTTTCCTGCTTACTCTATTGTTCCCTATTGTTCGAATTCCACTGATCGATTTTTTCAATAAAACTAAACATAGTGACTGACGCCACCTGTGAAGAAGGCGCGAAACCCGCGAAGCAACATTCTCTGGTAATCCTTTATCTGAATGAAGCTGAGCTGACGAACAAAAGTAGAATTGAAAAAAATAGTAACAGTAATAAGTATTACGCTACTTGAAAGGGAAACGGCAGCTTTTCAGGTAACTCAAAAACTTGCTTCAAATAATGATCTTTCTGTTTTTTGAATTTTATTTTCTGAAGACATATCCATATAATCATTTGTTTTGAATTTTGTAATTCTTGCGTAAGCCTGTGACAAAAAGTCTAGGCCTGTTTGAAAAGCAAGATTTTCCAAGATTTGACAAGGCCTGAGTTTGAGCTTTTGAGAATTTTTTCAAGTGGGTCTCTTCATCTGAAGTAAAACTGAGAACAATTATTTTTACCAGGCTATGTTTCACTGCTATGAAAAGAAGACAAGTAAAAATAAGATGCAAGGCAAAAGGGTGTAATTCCCAGTTCAACAGTGACTATCGCCTCCAACACAATAGAGAGAAACATGAAGGCAAAAATGTGCCATATGAAACCGCAGGTGCAGTTAAAAACCCTTTCGAAGCAGCTAAACGCAAGAAAGATAATCCAATTGAAGAAAAAGATTCATCTTCTTCATCTTCATCTGAGAAGATATTGGATGACAAAACCGAAGAGATTGGGTTAGCGAATTCTGCAAAAGAAGAATCAGTATCTAATATTAGTAATGTTGTCGGTGAGAATGTGGTTGATGAGGAAAGCGAGAGTGAGGCTGAAAACTCCGAAAACGATGACACCGATGATGAAAATGATGATTATTGGATTAGCTGTGCGGGAAAGCTCAAGCATCTGCTATCCACTTTGGAGCAAAGAGGTAATTTGACGTTAAACATTCTAACACAACCATGTACCCCAAATATCGAAGAGTTTGCGATATCTGCAAAAGAGTTTGCCAACGAGATTAAAACCCAGTGTAATGATTTAGAAAAATCTGCTGAACGACTTAAAGTCAAAATTGACAGGTAAAAAGGATCTGTACAACCTGGAGAAGCAGCAGCACTAATAGAACACGACCCTGGAAAAAGAAAAAAAGATTTGTCGGATAGCCAACGCCGTTTTGTGATAAACCTAGGTCCCTACCAGCCTCGCTTGACAGTTTATCCAAGTAATGCATTCATTGAATCTGGTAAACAAAATAAGTTTTCAAGCACCTGGTTCAAAGATTTTCCACATCTTGAATATAGCGTTCAAAATGACGCAGCATTTTGCTATGTTTGTTCCTTATTTCCAAACGGCGCTGGAAGACCCTCTTCAGATGCTTCATGGACTATTAATGGCGTTAGACAGTGGCACAAAATGAAGAGTGTTGGAAAAGGAAAGAAGGGCAAGCTGATACAGCATTTCACCAGCCAAAGTCACAGAGAAGCATTACGAGATTTTGCAAGATTCACTAACCCACATCAGAACGTTGATGCACTTTTGGATTTGTCTCGTCGTCATGAAATGATTAAAGAAACTGACGACGCAATGTTTAACACCAAAATTATGTTAATATTATGTGATGCTGCTCGCACCATGGCTATGCAGGACCTTGCATTTCGTGGAAATACTGATGAATCCAGCAACTTTCATGAGATTGTGAAGTTAATCAGTCGACATTGCGGCATTTTGAAATACTGGCAGAACCAAACAAGGATGCGACCATACCATGTTACCTATATGAGCAAAGACACCCAAAATGAGTTGATAAAGTTGCTAGGTGACGCAGTGAGGCATCGTATGGTGAAGGAGCTAGAGGAAGTCTCAGCGTTCTCAGTAATGGCTGATACTACCCCGGACACAAGCAATAAAGATCAGATGGCAATTGTTGTAAGATACGTCGTCAATGCCAAGCCGGTTGAGCGTTTACTGTGTCTGAGGATTCTCAAAGACAAGTCCGGAGAAGGCCATGCTGCAGAAATTTTTAAAGCTCTCAATGAGTGTAGTGTGGACCCACAAAAACTCGTCTTTCAATCGTACGATTTTGCGTCATGTATGTCTGGAAAGTATAAAGGATGCCAACGAGTGCTAAGTGATAAAATTCAAGAAGATTTTCCACACAAAAAGGAAATCCTTTACATCCCATGCCAGGCTCACAGGCTGAGTACATATGTAGAACGAAGCTCCAAAGCAAGCAGTCTTGTATCATCGATGTTTGACATATTACAGTCATTGTACACATTCTTTTCTAGTAGCACC